AAAAAAAAAAAAAAAAAAAAAAAAAAAAAAAAAAAAAAAAAAAAAAAAAAAAAAAAAAAAAAAAAAAAAAAAAAAAAACAGATTCGCCAGGAATAAGTTATCTTGAGGCTTCAGTGCACTCCAGTTGGTCCAGCTTATGAAAGAAAATATTTTGAAGTCCTAAGAATGTAGATATAAAATTATAAAGGTTGAAGAACCCCATCAAACAATATACATTAGGCCTACAAAGTCAAAACGTTCTGAATAAACATCAGGAATCAGCAACCATCCGGATTCTCATACCCAGAAAATGAATAAGACGACTAGGACAAAAAACCATGGGAGAAGACACAAATATAAGAACGTTGGACAAACCGGCTACACTAACATGCTTTGAAGTAATATCAACTCCCACTATGTGTATATTTAACCAGTAATAGTAAGGAAATACTTCTAATCACAATTTCCCTCCACGTCCAAACCAGTGTAGTCCCCTACACTAGGAATGTAGTGGCTCGGCAGACTTCAGATTCCCAAGGAAGATAAATCAATATCTTTAGTTATAATATGATCAAGGTAAGTCGTCGGTGGTGCGCAAAAGCAATCATCACTCACAGATTAGAATGCATATGATATTTCAAGCAATGATCATAAGTGAACTCAAAACTCTACGAGAGCATGCGTGATTCAACATTGCAAGTGACCATCAAGTCTACAAAAACAAGATCTACAGAACAAGCTTACACGATAACTAGCAGTCTCATACAGCTTGGTCTTCAACCAGGACAAAGAAGATTCCAATTACTGATAAATACTGAAAAATCCACCTCAATAACAAAAAGATGCTTCGAGTATAGTATTAAATAGTTGTAACTTAGAGGACTGCATTGCTAACTTCCCAGCCGAGCGCACAGGATAATCATATCAAGTTTCACAAGTCAACACAGGTTTTAAACCCTAAAACACCAATCAACCAGCAGATAACGACCTTAAAAGCTAAAACTAACGTCAAACGAAATACAACCACAACATTTCACAGGAAACAAGAGAGATAGAGAATATCCATTCAAACCTGCGGAGGAGATCTCCCGGGGAAAGTTCAGCGTTAAGCGATTAATACCTCGGCAGAAAATGAATTCGCCGGAGGTAATATCAAGCGTCGGTATCGTAAACACAACAGAAACGAGGAAATCGGAAGTTGGTTCTGCAATCGGAACGTGTTTGACGACGTAGAACGAAATCGAAACGACTAAAATGACAAAGTCGGTGAAAAAGTTAGAAGTTCAGCCATCAATTGAAGACAACCCCCGGGACCCACAGGTGAGGGAGAAAGCGCCGATGGGCCGTTCCGGGTAGAACTTTACCGTCTTTAGCTGCCTCGAAGACGTGGACGACCAGTTTGCTTTATAGGCAACAGAGTTACGGGGGAAGCCGCAAACGTGTGACGTGGCTACATGGAATTATTTGTAAATCCACGTCATCAGTGAGCAAGACAAAATAGGTATCATAGTTGTCGCCTACCTACGTAGGCAGGGTCCAAAAGGAAATAATTTAAGGGAATTATTTAAATATATTTCAAAAATTGACCTCTAAATTACTCATTTTGCGTCATTCTTAGCTTTTATAATTAAAAAAAATATCTTCCGTCATTATCATTTGATTATTTTATTTATATACAATTAACTATGCAATTTTCATAAAATATAATTAATATATGACTATCATTGAAATGATAATTAGTATATTTATTCTTTATTCTCAATCAACCTAGATACCTTTTATTTGAAATATGATAAAAGCATTTTCATAATTAATATTATGAGAGATATGAACAACACAATTTAGCCAACATTGCATAATCTATATGTCTAGATGCTAACATCTCAATTATATTATATTGTTGATTTTTGTATACGCCACAAATGGGACATTTAGATGTGTTCTACTATGAGCGGAAATTGTTACTTTGGAGGATGTTGAGATTCAAATCACCGTGGCACTCGATCGAGATTTACGCTGAGCTTCTTCCAAGTCCTTCAAAAACCTGCGCCAAATGGTGACATCATGAAAAAATAACGACTAGCGCGAGGTGTTCGCGAAGGCATTATGATTATATAGTTGGTAGGAGATTCATTTCTTACCTCCTAGAATTTAGAACAACAGAACCACCTAGTATAAAACGTATTCCAGAAGTAGTCGAGTTTTGCAAGGCTACTGAGCGTGACTCTTCATATGTCGTCCCACCGACAATAAAAATTATGACTTCTTGTGGCCTGCTTCATGACAAAGTAGCTAGCCGACTTCAATTCATAAAATTTAACAAAAGTTTCTTTATGAAAAAGGAAAATACTAAGATGATCATCAGATTCTCATTTAGAGGTCATGCTAGCTCAGTGAATCGTGAACTTTCAAGTTTGTCTATTTGGTCTTTGAATTCTAGAAAATATTTGATAGGCACTCACGCTTTCGATTGTGTATAACAAGTCCTTGGCCTATGCATAGACTTGTTATACACAAAACGGAAAGTTTAGAGTCATATTCGACTTTTATATTTAATAGATCAATTAACTTTTATTATGTCTTATAAACTTGGAAGCTCAAAAACTTGTTAGAGACTGTGACACAGGCTCACACTAACAAACAAACCTTCCTTGCTGAAAGTGATTTCCAACGAACGGATAGTCGACATCTCTCAATCGTCCCTTGATTATACTTTCCATAGTCTGGACGACAAGAGGTTGATGCTGAGTGTAAACGTTCTCAACCCCCTAAAACAGAAGTGAAGAGAACAGTACATAAGCACCCTAAACTACAAAGCAAGTTTAAATTATGTATTTCTTGTATATAAGCTTCTAGCATACCTTTAATCCACGAGCCATGTTACGGGCAATATTCAAAAGATCTCGATTTCCATAAAGATCGCCCGTTCGCTTATCAACACCAGCTTGTTTTAAAAGAAACTGTATAAGCTGTCATACCATGTTGTTGAGCATATCAAGATAATTGAAGACTAGCTAAGAATAGAAGTATGTGAACAATATTATCATAATAGTCGGCCAAAGAAAAACTAGCTTCTTACAGACACAGAGATATCATGAATCCGCATAGCATAAATAATAACTATAACATAATCGAGCATGTTTAAATTTTTTGTGATATCCCACATTGGTTGGGGAGGAGAACGAAACACTCTTATATAGCAAACGCGTTTTAAAGTCATGAGGGGAAATCCGAAAGAGAAAACCCAAAGAGGACAATATTTGCTAGCGGTGGGCCTGAACCGTTAGAATTGGTATCAGAGCCAGGTTTCGGGCGATGTGCCAGCGAGGAAAAGGAACGAGTGCTAGCAAGAACACTGGGCTCTGAAGGGCGGTGGATTGTGATATCCCACGTTGGTTGTTGGTTGGAGAGGAGAACGAAACACCCTTTTATAAGGGTGTGGAAATCTTTCTAGCAGATGCATTTTAAAGCCTTGAGGGAAAGTCCGAAAGGGAAAGTCTAAAGAGGACAATATCTGCTAGCAGTGGACCTGGGCCGTTACATAAAAAAAAGTGTTGAAAATGGTGCTTAAATGTATAGAGTACCCCTTTTTTATATTTGGCAGAACAAGAAGCCAATTTATTGAAAAGCTGCATCAGTTGGACAGGGCTCTCCTTCTCATAGCGTAAGGCATATAACATAACTAAGCGCATGCGGTCTATATCAGAAGTACTCTCATTGTTCAAAAGACTTGTTACCGCCTGAAAAGCAAAGAGCAGAGGTGGTCATGCTGAAAGTAACAACTAACAATCTCATAGCTCATCAATAGTTCCACGCTATTGTTGGGAGTTCCAAACTTTTTACAGATAGCTCATGGGCACATAAGAAAAAAAATGTTGCAGAGATGTTACAAGTTAGAACTATGAAATCAAAAACAAGGAACATCTAATATTTAATCAAATTTGTTTCAATCATAATAACTTCCTCAAAATTTAATGTATACTATTCTTGTAACATTGGAAAAAAAAAAAAGATAACTCACATGATATTTATTTTTTGCATCAGGTAGGTATATGAAAGAATTATAAATCTCCAAAATAATAGATAGGAATATCGCAAATAGACCTATCACAACACCCATTAAAGGCACAGTTCCCCACCCAAGAGCCATTTTACCATATTCTGAATTTAATGGTTTCAACAAATCCCCTACAATAGTTTGTCTTGGCCAAGATCTAGAACTATCCTCAACGGTTTGTGTAGCTATAAAAAATATAGAGTGAGATCTGTTAACTTTGTATACTTGCCATTATAAATAAATGATCTTATCATAGATCCACTGTGATCTTGAAATTATATAATAATGAAACAGCAATCCTAGTTGCCTTCCCAGAAAAATAGCAGAACCAGATTATAGTTCTTAAGTATCGTGCTAAGAAAACTACTAAAATGGATGTCGAGCAAAACATGAATATGGGACTATATCATGATTTCAACGTTGTACAGATATGAGAGAGAAAAATGCATGGCATATTCACGATGGAGAAAATATTAGAACCTCAAAAGCAGCCATTTGCCCACCATTGCAAGCCAATTCCTGTTCTGTCTGTGAAACGAACATAAGCTTTCGCTCCTCAACTATTTTACTCAACTCTGTCACCAATGTCACATGTTTCGAAACATTACCATGCATTTTTCTGTACTCTGGATAATTGTCAACGAACTTGGCCATGTCCTCTACACAAAACAAAGCAAAAAAAAAAAAAAAAATTTAGTGACGCAATTCTCTCCCCTTATCAATACGTCACAAATAACTACAAAGAATGTCAAACTTTATTTCATACAGACCTATTGTCTGTATGTTCTGGTTACTTTTGGCAATTTGCTGAAAATCGTCCACCAACTTCTTGATATTCATTCCAATTTCTCCAAAATTATTGTACATATTAGCTTTATAAAACGAATCTTGCTCTGATGATAGCACAACCTCCTGAGTGATGCAGAACTGTGAATAAGTTTAATTGTCCAATAGAAAATGCTTACTAGTGCAGAGTAGAAGAGTGAGCTTTATACCTGATGATCCTTTGAAGATTTCCCAATGCTTTTCAAGTCCACTTTATTGTCTTGAATACCTAACAATTCATGAACCATTGCCTAGAAAACATAACAATGAATAACCAACACCATCATGTAGTAACAACAAAGCAAAGAGTAATTTTTGTGATCCCAATACCTGATACGTCCATTGATTCAGCAGGGGAGTCAGCGGGTCATCCCTCCTATCAATTACCAGCAACAAAGGGGAGATTTCTGTTCTTCGAAAATCGAACAGACCACTTTCTTGCTGATACATTAGTTTCTGGTACATCAGAAACAATCAAATTTAAAGTTTGTGACCCTTGAACTTGTGATAATAAAGCCTATAATAATAATAAAAAAAAAAAATACAAATCTGAAGTCAGGACACCGCTTCTAGAGTTCGAATATAAATATGAACAGGTTAACTAACAAATTAAAGTAAGAAAATGCAACTTATAATAGTAAGAAATTACGTACTGATGTTTCCTGTGCTATCCTCTTGGCAACATCAGAAGTCCTTTGGTACCGAATAACAGGTCTTTGTTTTAACGCCAAGAAAAGTGCTGCAAGGCCATCTACAACTCGGTCACAGAAATGTTGCAAACTTGGTGGATCAACAACTGCCGGGATCATGTATATGTGGTTTGATGCCATATTTAAAGTGAAATGATAAGGATCAATGGCCATGAAATCGCCATAAAATTCCTGCATGGTTCGTTTGATAGTTATATGTGATTATCACAATGAAAGCTAACATGGGAATTCAGTACAATATAAAACTCATGCAAACCAGCTGTTTCAAATGATGAATAGGATGAGTAGAGAATGGAGATCTACAATAAGGCTAGTGAGCAGGATCAATGACACATATAAGAAGGTTCATGCCATTGGTAACCTAACCGTCTCTTTGACATGGTACGACTGAGAAGAACCATGATTCCATGATACTATTTTACTTAAAGAACTTAATTTGGATTAATCTTCCCTGATCTCATCCACATATAATAGCACGAATTTTGTAACGACCCAGGCTCACCTAGCAGATATTGTTCTCTTTGGGATTTTCCTTTCAGGCTTCCCCTCAAGACTATAAAATGCATCTTCTAGGGGAAGGTGTTCTCCTCCCCAACCAATGTGGGACATCACAATCCACCCCCTTGGGGGCCTAGGGTCCTCGCTAGCACTCGTTCCTTTCTCCAAAGAATGTGGGACCCCCCGCTAAATTCATCTCCCTTTGGGGCCAGCGTCCTTATTGGCACACCACCTCGTGTCTATCCCCTTCGGGGAACAACCGGTATCTAGCTCTGATACCATTTGTAACGACTTAAGCCCATTGCTAGCAGATATTTTCCTCTTTGGGCTTTTCTTTTCGGGCGTCCCCTCAAAGCTTTAAAACGCGTCTTCTAGGGGAAGGTTTCCACACCCTTTTAAAGGGTGTTTTGTTATCTTCCCCAACCAAACCAACCTCGGACATCACAAATTTGTTAATAATTCATGTAAGAAGAAAAATTACCACAACTTGCTGCACAACATCCTGCTCGTCTGAATCAGCTAGTATATGAATCTGAGTTTCCTTCAAAATGTTGGAGAAAACTGTAATTCAGATATACAGAAGAATGATTAACATATCAATGGAAGATCATTACAGAGTCACAAAGTTACTTACACAAGTTAGAAATCCATAAAAGAAATGAAGAACTCACAAAGGTGATACTCCCCAAATCTAGAATTGGCCAGCTGACGACGCAAAAGCTGTATATTCTCTGATGTAGGCCTGAGAAAGCAAACCGCTTTCAGATGATACATGGATTCTCTTGACATCGATATGGTATCTACCAATTCAACCAAAAACACTTCTTTCTGAAGAAGCTCCGACTGTGAGTACGCCACACTAACGACACTAACCTGAAACCAAAAGCAATAACAATCAAAATTTATCATTATTCTGCACTGTGAATGATAGAGATCGAAGAAATCATATACAAAAACTACACAGGGCACGTTAACAGGCTATAGGATTCCATAATACACATCAGAAAGAAGATTGAAGGAATGTAATGAACACGATGGCGCATACCGTCTGAGAATCGAGGATGAAAACCTTCATGCCGGAGATGTCCTGCAACATCTTGTTGATATAATCCCGAACGACCGATATCAGCACCATTTTCAGCTCGTAGTTCTCAAAATTAACAGTCCTGAATCCGGCACCAAAACTAGTGAATGCGGTGGCAATGAAGTGGAATCGCAAATGCAGATAGAAGGCAAGAAGGAAGGTCTCAGATCTGCGACGACCGACGAGGGATGAAATCGAAAATGGACAGTCAGTTGGGAAGTTGCCGATCAAGATGGTCGCCAAATACGCACCTTCTTGTTCAATCTTTCCCGCTTTTCCGAAAGTAGAATTAACCTTTTTCCTTTTTTTGTTTCTTTTTTCGTATGAGATTATGCTACCAATTACCCAAATTTTACCTTCCAAATATAATTTTATCAAAATTTTGAAAATAATGAAGCATTAATCTTCTAATATATAATGAATTATGAGTTTTAATATTTAAGGATTTAAATAAAAAAAAATTGAAAGAGGAGAAGTACAATCGAAACGTAGAGTTGAATTGACATGTAATTATCCTCATTTGTTGGATTGCGTCTCTGCGGAGCGGCCGCCATAGCAGCTGTGTGTTGTGAGCTTCATCATTCCCAGTTTTCCAGTTTCCTCCGTTAAGAGAAGTGATGGTCTTGATTACTGTCGGTAATTTCAGACTCTCTGCAGTTCCAATTTCATCAATCCTTCCACAGAGTGGCTTCCGTTCGTCTTTAATCTCGCCCAGAAATCTTCCCTTCCCATTTGTTGGCCATCGGTTTCCTTCTACGTCGAACAATCCCTTATTACTTCATGCCAGAAAGAAAAACTCAGAATCAGAGCCAGTTATCAAACGAAACATCGTTGAGGAAGTGTCGGAGGACGAAGAAGACGACGTACTTCTCGACGAACTTGATGAAGATGGTAAGATCCATTAATAAAACCTTCGCTCAATTTATTCCTCTAGTTTCTATTGAATCCTAGTTTAGACTGGTCTTGGAATGAGTAAATTTCGCGAAACTTTCTTGATTGCGTAGATGAGATAATGGACGATGATGGCGAAGATTACTTTGAAGAAGAGTTTATGGAGGATAATGCTGAAGTCTATGTAAGATTCTTGCCTCTAAACATGAAGATATTGTGTTGGAAATCTTAACTGAACTTCTGGATTTGATAATTTGATTTGAAGGTAGGGGATGGTGGGGAAGGAGGTGGAATTTCCCTTGCTGGAACATGGTGGGATAAAGAAGCACTGGCTATGGCTGAAGAGGTTATTCTTTCATTTGATGGCGACTTGAAGATTTATGCTTTCAAAACAGTCTCTAATTCCACTGTTCAAGTGCGTATTGAAAAGCTTTCTAACAAGTAAGTTTTTACATTCTATGAACACATATTAGACTGAGGTTTTGGTTTTCTTGTAAGATAATAATTTCTTGTTTCTGCATTCTTAAGAATGAAATGCCTTCTGCTAGCTCCTTCTTTCTCAAAAGGATTGTTTGAGTGATGTTGATACTAGAAAATATTAGGATTACTAATCGTAGATTTCGCTCGCAAATTATGGGAGAGAGTTCACGTTAGAGATTTAGGACGTGTTTGGAATGACTTTTTAAGAGCTTAAAAACACGTTTGTAAACACTTGAAAAATCATTTCAAACAAGCTCTTATACGAGTTCACCCGCTTCATATGGGTTAGATCCAATACGAGTTCAGCCTGTACCTATCTTTTAAGCTGGAAATGGAGATGCCTTTTGCTTTCAAGTAAATCAAGAGAAAGCCGTTAATTACCCTTTGGCTTCAAGTTTTCCTTCTGATATTAGTGTTCTCATTGAACCCGTATTCATAACTTAACTCAAAGCAGAATAGGATTTCTTCAAACTCCTTATTGCTTGATACATCACATTAATTCGAAGGATTTCCAGATATTAAGGACGTTTCGAGTTGAAGTCTACTTTAAGCATATGAAAATGTGTTACATTTTACATGTTGTTATCCCAAGTTTACTGTTGGTGCATGCGTTCTTGGTAAGACTGAGGACCATTTCCTAGGTTCTAATTCCCAACAATGCACCTCAGATCGGGTTCGCCCAGGATGGAAGATATCGAGGCTTTCTCTTCAAGATATCGAGCACGATTGGATGAAGCAGAGCTTTCTAAAACCGTGCCAGAGAACATATCTTTAGAGGTATGCTGTCTTTTTCCCTGCTCAAATTCCCTCGTTTTTTTTTTTCCTATATCATCAACCAATCTATCTTTAGCAATTAGAAGAAGATTTTCACTTCCCTTATTCAATTTAGTTTCCCACTTGACAAGACCAAAGGAGAATTTCTCTCTCAGAATTACTCTGTTAGCTTTTGGGACTAAATGGATGTTAATCCTTTCTACATTATAAGGTTTCATCTCCTGGTGTTGAACGCGTCGTTCGGATTCCCGACGAGCTGGATCGGTTCAAAGAAAGAGCAATGTATGTGAAATACGCGAACGATGTAGTTACACCCAGTTCGTCCTCTGAGAGTGATGGCATTTTCAAGCTTGTGTCATTCGACATAGAAACAAGGTGCTGCATTTGGGGTTTAGCAGATGTGAGGATAAATAGAGAGAAGGCAGGAAAAGGAAGACCACTAAGCAAAAAACAAAGAGAGTGGCGTTTAGAGACTCCTTTTGATTCATTACGCTTGGTTAGACTGTATTCTGATTATTGATAATGCAATCAAATTTTGGTCGAAATTCAAGGTGTCGGTGTATAGTAAACTAGTAATTATTATCTTACGAACGTATGATTCGTTTTTAATGCTATTCTCTATCTAAACACATTTTGAATACAAATTTTGTAAGATAAACGCTTAATAGTTTTTGGATTGAGTTGGTCTGATCAACATGAACATTGATATGCATGAATTATACTTATTTATTGTCAAATTGTTCTGATTGTATTGGTTGAATTATGAAACTTTATCTGTACTGTAATGGCATTGACTGAGGCACTCCTGGTTTGGTCCCTGCTAGAAAACGACCAATCAGTCTCTTTACCCGCGTGATGAATGAAAAACGGCTCCTTTTGTTGACACCTTTAGCTTTCTAACAATATGCTATTTCTATACTATCTTCGTGACTTCACTTATTCATTACATGCATTGTACTTAGTTACCAAAAATATGCATCATTTTACTTATTTATTTCTTGTTGTTTTTCTCTTAACTTTTCTGTTTTTGGTGTGTAAGGAAGTCATACAATTGTAAGAGGATTGGAGGCCGTAGCTCAAGGAAAAAGCCTAAAAAGATAGCTTTTTACTTTCTGCTTTATTGACCCATTTCATCATCTTTACGAATTTGAAGGTTTGGTGATTAAATAAATGGTGTATTAGGTGCAAATGAAAATTTTAAGTTAAAAGAAGGGAGGGGTTGGTGCGTGGGGTGATCGAAAGCAGTGTCTGCATGCACCTATTGTTGTCATTATATCCTTATAAAAATCCCATGTGTATTACCTTTTTCATAGCCAGCTCCATTAGAAAATTATCTAATACTCTCTTTTGGAGTACAATATATACTCAACACGGTAGTAGGTTTTGAGCACTAATGAGGCTGTTTGGAGGGATGGAGCGGGGGAGAAGAACTCTTAGGGCTGCTTGGGGGTGCTTTTTCATTGCCTTGTGGGTGGCCACACAGGGGTTCCCGGTCGAGGATCTCGTCGGGAGGCTCCCCGGCCAGCCAACGGTTGATTTTAGACAATTTGCAGGTTATGTCGATGTCGATGTCGATGCAGGAAGAAGTTTGTTTTACTACTTTGCTGAAGCTGAGCAAGATCCCCATCTCCTGCCCCTCACTCTCTGGCTCAATGGAGGTCTGGTTTGGTTTAGAACTGTTTTAGTTTATGATATGATTAGATCTTGAAAGGCCATACTGTTATACTGATAGAATCAAACTTGGGGAGGATACTAAATTGTTGAAAGGTCAATGCAGGTCCAGGTTGCTCGTCTGTTGGTGGGGGTGCCTTTACAGAGCTGGGGCCCTTTTATCCCAGAGGTGATGGCCGAGGCCTTCGAAGAAACTCCATGTCCTGGAATAAAGGTAGTGTTTTATTTTTCTTCTTTCTTCTTTTAAATATTGAAAGAATCTGAATGATATGGTGGATTGACTTTGATAGCCTCGAATCTGCTGTTTGTGGAGTCTCCTGTGGGGGTCGGATGGTCATACTCAAACACAACGTCAGACTACACTTGTGGTGATGACTCCACAGGTTCTAATTCCTATACTTTAGAGGTTAATTTAATTTAGATTTTGTTTGATTAAAGATTAAATATAGAGAGATTGGATCTGTGCAGCCAGGGACATGCTCACCTTTATGTTGAAATGGTATGACAAGTTTCCAGCTTTCAGAGATAGCTCATTTTTCCTCACAGGAGAAAGTTATGCAGGTCATTTTTTATATTTTTTTTAGTATTAAATTATAAATTTAGTTCCCGGCCCACCATTAGCATATATTATCTTTTTTGAGATTTTTCCTTTCGGGCTTTTCCTTAGTGTTTTTAAAACGGGTCTGCTAGGATGAGGTTTTCACACCCTTATAAAAAATGTTTCATTCCTCTTTTCAACCAAGGTGGGATCTCACAATCCACCCCCTTTGGCCCCAGCATCCTCGCTAGCACTCGTTCCACTCTCCAACCGATGTGGGATCTCATAATCTACCCCCTTCAAAGTCTAGCATCCTCGCTGCCACTCGTTACTCTCTCAAATCGATGTGGAATCTCACAAACATCTGTTAGAGAAAGGGAATGAAACATTTCTTATAAGGGTAAAGAAACTTCTCTCTAGTATACGCATTTTAAAAGTGGGTGGGGAAGTCTAGAAAAGAAAGCCCAAAAAGGACAATATCGGCTAGCGATGGGCTTGGGCGGTTACATTTTCGTTCGTATTTATATGATATCTTTATTTTTTAAAAAAATAAAATAAAATAAAATAATTATTGAACTTTTTTTTTTAGGAGAAATTACTCTTTTAGGCCTTGAGATTTGAGTTTTTGGTCCGTAGATTTCAAAATATTACACTTTTTCTTTGAAATCTAAGTTTTATTTTTATTTGGTATTTAAATTTCAATATTTTACGCTCTTACTTTGAATTTTAACTAATACTCACTTTTATTATTTGAACTTAACTAAAAAATTGAATTTTTTTTAATTAATTTTAATTTAATAGAAAATTAATAAAAATTAACTAATAGACATTAATTTCTAGTAAAAAAAAAGACTTAAGTGTTAATCTTCAAATTTAGAGACCAAATAAAAATAAAATTTAAAAATTTAAAAGTTCAATAACAATCAAATGAAAATTAAACTCAATATTTAATGATAAAAATCTAATAGGAATCAAAATGAAAACTAGTGACTAAAATCATGATCATGTAACATATCTGAGCTAAATTTAAAAACTTGTTCAATACCATTCACAAATTCGAAGTTCAAACTTCTATCTTGAACTTTATAAGTATTGAAGACTAAATCGACAATCGGAGAATGAACGTTATCCTGAATTCGTAACTTAAATTTAATTTATTCTAAAGAAGTGGGAAAAATGTGAAAGAGAAAAGATATTGATTTGATGCAGGCCATTACATTCCTCAGCTAGCTGAAGCAATGCTGGACTATAACATTCACTCAAAGGGCTTCAAGTTCAATATCATGGGAGTTGCTGTAAGAACAATGAACTCCAAAACCATTTCTTTTTTAATTCAACTTACTTTTGTAATCTGATGGTGCCTGCAGCTTGGGAACCCATTGCTTAATCTGGACAGGGATGTCCCAGCAACCTACGAGTTCTTTTGGTCTCATGGCATGATTTCCGACGAGGTTTGGTTTGCAATCAACAGAGACTGTGATTTTGATGATTATGTGTTGGCGACTCCACACAATGTAACCAAATCCTGCATCCAAGCCATCGCCGACGCCAACGGTATCGTTAGCGAGTACATAAACACCTACGATGTTCTTTTGGATGTCTGCTACCCCTCCATTGTCCAGCAAGAGCTGAGATTAAAGAAACTGGTTCGTTTATGCTGTTTTTGTTTTCTTTTAGTGCATCGATTCGTGGGTCTGTAGTGATTCGAACCTCTAATGTTTTAATCAGTTGAGACTCTAAGTTGGTGTCGAGATTGTAATGAGTGGTTCGGTTTGGTTCGTTCTGCAGGCGACTAAAATAAGCATGGGAGTTGACGTGTGCATGACCCAAGAAAGGCGTTTCTATTTCAATTTACCAGAAGTTCAAAAGGCTCTTCATGCCAATCGTACTAATTTGCTTCATCAATGGTTCATGTGCAGTGAGTAAGTAAGCACACATTCTCTTTTTTGGCATCCATATTACATCACAATAGTTATGCCATAAACACAGCCTAAATCTTGATTGTTGGTGCTTTTGAGCAGCTTAGTAGATTATAATTACAATGATACGAACATCAACATGCTTCCCGCGCTGAAGAGAATAATCCAAAACCACATCCCGATTTGGATCTTCAGGTACGTTTTGAACTTTCTGTTTAAACTTTGAACATTGAGAATGGTGAATAAATGAATGAATGAACACGCACAGTGGGGATGAGGATTCAGTGGTGCCATTGATGGGGTCTAGAACGCTAGTCCGAGAGTTGGCTCATGACCTTCAATTCAAGATTACAGTACCCTACGGAGCTTGGTTTCACAAGGGCCAAGTCGGGGGTTGGGCCATCGAGTACGGTAATATGCTGACATACGCAACGGTGCGTGGGGCAGCTCATATGGTGCCCTACGCTCAGCCCTCAAGAGCTCTGCATTTGTTCTCTTCATTTGTAAGAGGGAGGAGGCTGCCCAATTCTACCCGCCCTTCCATCGATGATTGAAACAAAACAAATTAAACGTGAACGTGTTTGGTTGGGTTGGGTTAATGATAATCGAAAGAGTGGAATGTAATGCAAGATTTTGTTTAGAAATAATGAAAAGCTCCCAACTCATTCATTTAGTTTCCTTGATTGTGTTGGGAGTTGTTAGCTTTTGATACACACTCAAGATATGCTTGGTGAGCAGAGAAACAGAGGGTGGGAAGCAAGAACAGAACAAGTTTATAATGCACACAATCATTCAGGCTTAGCATCAAAGTTAAGTCTTTTTTTGTTTGTATAAAAACGCATCCCATTTCTTACCAACTTCTTCATATCCTTTCTTTAACCAATACTTCTTGAGATATTAATCCCAATGCCCTCTCTCAATACTTCCGACCACCCTTACTTTCCTTTACCACCTTATCATCCTTTCTGGCCGCCTCTCCCACCGCCGCAAAACCCTATTGCTCCGCCATATAAACCAGTTAGACCGCCACCGCCCCCTCGACAACCAACTGCTCCTCCGCCCCCACGTCAGCCAATTGTGCCCCCTCCGCCTCCACGTCAGCCGATTGCACCCTCTCCGCCGCCCCCTCAAAAGCCGAATGCTCCTCCGCCACCACGCAAGCCTATTGCGCCCCCGACTGCGCCTCCGCCCCCGCCCCCGCCCCCGCGCAAGCCAATTGTGCCTCCTCCTCCACCGTCTCGAAAGCCGACTGCTCCTCCGCCACCACGCAAGCCTATTGTGCCCACTCCGCCACCTCATAAGCCGACGGCTCCTCCGCCACCACGCAAGCCTATTGCGCCCACTCCGCCACCTCAGAAGCCGACTGCTCCTCCGCCCCCACGCAAGCCAATCGTGCCCCCTCCGCCACCGCAAAAGCCGACTGCTCCACCACCGCCACGTAAGCCAATAGTACCTCCACCTCCACATAAGCCAACTGCCCCTCCACCACCACGCAAACCAATTGCGCCTCCGCCTCCTAAAAAGCCAGTTGCTCCTCCACCACCACGTAAGCCAATTACACCACCACCACCACACAAGCCAATTGCTCCACCAACACCATACAAGCCCATATCTCCCCCATCTCCGATGCTTCCGCCGCCGCCGCCTCCTTCTAACCACCACCCGACAGTGATCATCATAGTGTGTGTGTCCTTGGGTGGGCTCTTCCTGCTTGCATTCATGGCAGCTGCCTTCTTCTGCTTCGTGAAAAAGAGAAAGGAGAAAACCATTGAAGAAACAGAGATCATCCACATTGACGAACACAGGAAGATCAAAGAGGCCAAAGTTGCAGGACCCCATGGATCATGCGAAACTATGGTGCTATCAGTTGAAGATGACATCCACATAACCGAAGAAATCGTACGGAGCGAGAAGGTTGGGGGAAAAGGGTTACATGGTACGCATGAAGCAGGTGATCCAAGCTCCATAGAAGAGCCACAGCCCGCATCTTCCTCTCATCAAAACCATTCGTGAGCACAAAAGTTCCATCATTTTGGACAGAACAAAAACAATTGAATAAAATATTAAATAAATATTATGATTATCCCATCCATAATTTTAAAAAAATTAATTGATTTTTTCTTCATTTTCCAGAAAATGTGCGTGTAATTGTCATACTGAAATGGATTAAAATAAATAAATTAATTAAAAGTGGGTGACAGATTTTTATTACAAAAGAGACGTGGGAGATGATGGGATTTAGTTGTATATAAAAAGACGAAAATCCTAAATTTCTAAACAAAATTTCAATTTTTTTTTTTTTTTTTTGGTTTAATTTAAAATTTTACACGAAAAAGAAACTTAGGAGATAATGGGTATTTCCTTATTAAAAATCCAGCTGAACTTCACTCCATACGGCTTCAACTTCTTAGCTCGCTCATCGGCTCGTTCCTGAAGCTTCCTAATCCTCGGCGCCAAGCCACACACGTAATCCTGAGCCTGTCGCCCCTCCGCCGTCAATCCCTCCACCTTCTCCAACGCCCATCGTTCGACCAGCACCTCCAGAATGTCAGCGTAGTCGTTAGCCGTGTAGATTCCAAGCCGCTGAGCAACGGCGGAGAAGTGGTCGAATAGCCTGGGGTCTTCCCCGTCGTACATGAGGTGAGCTGGCATTGTGATCTTCTTACGCATCATGTCTTCAATTGCCAGCATGGCACCAGAGGGGTCCACGTCGAGAAGCTTCTTCACGATTCTGGAATATGCGTTCTCGTGGCGCTTCTCGTCGGAGGCGATGGTGCCGCAGATTCGAGCCAGGGTAGTATCGCCGTTGTCTTTGGCCAAACGGCCGGTGTTGCCGTGGGATACGAACGTGGCTCGCTCCTGAAATGACGTGTACACGAAACCCAAGTATGGGTTGTTCTCTGTTCCTGGGTCCTGTCCACGTGGATCGCATTAATATTAATTAAAAACCTTTTTTAACTTTTAAATTTGTATTAAAAACATAAATTTGGAAATTTTAGAAGTATTTTAACAAATTATTAAATTAAAATTTATTGGTCTTACCATGCCGGAGCTGATCAAATACTGGACAGTCCGCTCAACCATCTGCATATCGACCCGACCCGATAAATAGAGGTAGGTTCGGAGCAAGTCGCCATGGCGGTTCTCCTCGGCGGTCCAAGACCGGGTCCACTTGGCCCACGAGCTGCGGCTAGCCCCAGTCTCGTCCTTAACACCATCCAGCGTGTTAATCATGGTCTGATAAGTGGGCAATGCATCCTCCGTAATCATATCCCCAACCAGCACCACGAAGTACTCGTCCGGCAGTTCCGCCGTCCGTTCCCGCAGCGCCCTAACTTGATCGACAAATTCGTCATACGGCAGCCTCGAATCCGGCAAGAAATCCTGCGGCTGCCAGCACTGTTGCACCGGCTTCAGCAGCGGCAGTACATTCTCACTCGCCCAACCTTCCAGCGACTTAAACAATTCGACCTTTTCCGGCGGCATTGAGTGCGTCCTCTGGTCCTTAATCAGATCCGGCGTCGATATGGCAGAAATCGGCTGTAGCGATGGCCGGAAATTGACAGCGTACAGCGGCGGCTTCAACCGAAAGTGAGCGAGATTCCGGCCAAATGAAATCGGAGAATGAGATGGAAGGAGGTTCGAGGTTAGGGAATTCATGATGCCGTCTGTGCGCGAGAGTGTGATCTAAGTAGAAATCTTGGGCAATAGGGAGCACAGTGATGGACCAAATTTATAAGGGAAGTTCGGGGGGGGGAAAATGGAAGGGTAATATGGTAATTTCGGGGATGTAGAATCCGGTGGGTGCTGTGGTTTTCAGAAAGGCAGTGGAGACATCCCATGGGTACACACACAGACCAGTGGCAAATAGAATTAAAGACACCTCATAATGTGTGGACAAAACCGTCTGTTCCTCTAAATTTAAATTTAATTAAAATAAAATGCACCATGCATTATAGGAAGCAATTGGCCAGGCCAAGTGGTGAGATTGGTGAGAAACGTTCAAGAAACCGAATTATAATAATAGTTTTTTTTTTTTTTTAATAAATAAAATCCCGAAAAAAAGAAAAAAAAAAAAAAAAAAAAAAAAAAAAAAAGGGTTTCCTTAGTCTCCGTTTGCTACACCCAACTACAACAATCAAATTGATTTTTGATCAATTTTTGAAGAGTTTCTTTAAAATTGACTATCCAAAAAGCAATTTTTATAAAATAAAATAAAAATATCTTCTTATGTCAAAATTAAAAAAGACAATAACGGAGAGATATTTAAGAGGAACAAAAAACATGTAAAGATTCTAAAGAAAGAGACAAGATAGAAGCGTACGTTAAATGGTGTAATTCAGGGAGTATAAGTTTTTGCAGTTCAAATTTCTTCCTAGTACGGTATACAACATATTTGACGTGACGTGTCGATCATGCTTTAAACAGCAACTAGCCAAATTTAAACAAGAGTCAAGTGGTGAATAAGAAGGGGTGAATAAGAAGCAGCAACTTTAAACATGACAAAGCCAGTAGGGGTGAATAAGAAGCAGCAACATAAAGATGGAACTCATTTATAATTTTAGGAAAAAACTGGCATGCACTAGACTAGTAGTATACAATATGATTGGATTCTCATTTATTAGCAATAAAATTATGGTTGAGCTAGTTTTGCAAGAATAACTAAATCCAAAATCTTAACATCAAGAGTGTCATCTACCTTCACAATTCCATCCGTGCCGTCTACGCCGATCAATTTGCCAGTGGCACCACGCAGTGCACCACCCATTATCTTGATCTTGTCTGACTTCCTAGGAACGATCACTTCTATTTCGCTGGAAGGGGCTGTTACCGTTTCGCCATTTCCACTTGATCCAAGACCTACCCTACATCCGCCATCCTGAGAAAAAACAAAAAAACCCAAATCAGCACTACTTTCCATAATAATATACCTAATTCAGTTACACATATGCCTTAACCTTGTGTTTCATTTGAATATTACACTTTTACATTACAAATAAATGAAGGATAAGGATAAGGATGAGATAGATAGGCATGAAACCTGCCTTCTTAAGATGGAATGAATGGTCTCGTTGACCATGAACTTATGAACTGTCTATGTGAAATTTACTCACATGTAGAGTTTCCAAACCTGCCTTCTTAACCTTATCTTCTGTTCTTTATCTTAATATATATTCATATATATAAGACACACTTCAGTTATATCTCTCTTAACATCTTTCCCCTTGTATTTTTTCGTTCAGAAAACAATAATTTGGTAATAACGCTCTACATGTTCCATAAGAAGTCCAGCTACTACTACTCAGAAACAAATATGTATAAAAATAAAATAAAATGACATATAAAATTTGTAGTGGGCAAAGCTTTAGTAAACACGTACCGGAAGCACCTCACGGATTACTCCCATGACGAGCTCATCTCCTGACCTCCGGACATTGACTAATATGTCTGGCATGTACCATGGTCCTTCGGAATCACCACCTGCCATTTTAATTTATTTTTCGTAATCAGGAGTAGAGTAAAACAAACAAACATTTATTGGAGATGCCAATGGAAAATGGAACGAAATTCGGTTGCCAAGGTCATGACCCCATTGCAAAAGGTTGAACTTCCAAGTTCGATACAATGTACCTATGAAATAAATTTTATTCCAGGTCTCTCTAGATGAAACTAAGAATAATTCTTGAGGTAGTCAAATGTACCCTAATACAATTTTATCAAAAGAAAAGAAAATTGTATCGATGCAAGTTCATTCGGGTGCTCCACTCAATTTGTGCTTGGATTAACTTATAGTGGCCCACTTTTTATCAATATGCAACATGCAGTATAGCGAGTAATAATAAAGTTCAGGTGTTACTTCCTCCAAATGTTAAAGAAAAAATACGAATTAATGGCAAATATAAATAATAGAGTCTATTGCAAACTCTACTTGTAGCAGATATTCTACGAATATTTTTTGTGAAGAACATCTTGCTTAAAATAAATATAGGGAAAACTCTATCAAGCTGCATGCTGAAAAGAGTAATACAAACCTATAACAGGAGACATCATATCCAGACCACCTGTGCCTGGTGTCATTGGCTGCCCACCAGGAGTACCAGGAAGATAGGAGGCTGGATTAGGTGTCATCGGCTGTCCACCAGGAGTTGAAGGCAAGTATGGGCTTGGAGCATTTGCTGAACACAGAGTAAGTCATATTAAGATAAGATGTCTCTTGTGTGGAAAAGTTGAAATAAATACAAATGCACCAACCATAGGCTGAACCACCATCCCGGGGGGTACCAGCATCACTGTAACTGCCACCAGGAGTGTTGGCCCACCCAGAACCCGGAGTTGGAGCTTCATATGTCCGTGAAGGAGGGCTTCCTGTCTGAGAGAGAACACATATTACTGCCTCTAATGGTTAACAAGCCAGAATAATTAGTGGCATTTAGCAAGTCATTAAAGATCTAACCTGGTACTGTGGGCTACTTCCCCAAGTTGCAGGATTCCCTTCCTCCCAGTTATCCCTAGTTTAGAAAAATCAGAATTTGCAGCATCAATCATCAAAGATGATTGCAAAAAAAAAAAAAAACTTGAAAAAGAGGACTTCAATGGATAAGATGGCTCCCTAAAGCACATGATGAAAAACGGAGATACAGCATAACATATCAAGAAGCTCTAAAGTTATTGATATATGAGACAAATTTATCCCACAGCCAAAGGTGGTTACCACATCAAATGAGTTCCTAGAGCAGCAATATACAACACAAGCACCATCACAATTGCCTCCAGGGTAGGCCAGGTACAGGACTTCACTATTGCACTACCACCACTCACACCAAATAACTTGTCACTGTCAGAAGGCTACTGATGATGAAAATGTATCAAATATGATTGCCTGCCTTCTGAAAGATGACAAACCACATCTTGTCCAACGTCTCTTTATTCTAGCTTCCCTAACCCATAGTTCATTGATGAGACTTAAGGAGAGAAAGAAAATAACTGTAGTAAGATTCCACACATCTTAATTCCACCACTTCAATGATTAATATGCATAATGTTCCATTTTCATTTTTCAAATAGTCATGTTTTTCATCAATCAGGTGTTGCCTTCTTCATACTTCTAGCCTTAGGGATTTAGTCAGGCCTCATTCCTTAACAAGAGTTACATCCCTTAGGAATACTATCGAAATACACATAAACACAGTATACAACAGAATCAGTCATAAAAGTGTTTTCTTTTAAATAAAATGGCCAATTTAAGAATTATAGAGAAAGAAACGACCCAACAAATATACAATAAAAAAATTGTTTCCAAATTTCCAATGCAAGAGTGGCAAAAAATAA